AGTCTTCGCCCCAGCACAGCAACGGGTGCACAGCAGGCATTTGGTAAATACTTGCCGGTAACACAACTGAACGAGGTCTAGGGGCTCTTAAAGGGTGGAGCAATGTAGGGAGCCACGCTGCAGCGCAGCCCCCGGGCACCCTCGCGCGCCAACCCCGGGCCGCGGGCGGCCGCGTCGACTGCCCTTCTTGGCATCGTGCCCAGGATACCAGCGGCGACGGCCACTCCTTCTCCGCGCCAGGCGTTGGCCGCTCTGTGGAGACACAGCTATAGGCTGCTGGGGCTGCCGATCCCGACCACGGCGCCGCGCCCCAGCGCCCCCTGGGAGACGTAGGCCCCGCCGAGCCCGCCCACTCGCCCTCCGATTGGTTCCGCTTACTCCCGGGGCCCTCTGGAAGATGTAGTTTAGGGCGTGACCCTCGGACGCACTAGCGCGGCGGTAGGGGGGCCGGCCGCCGGGAGGGTCGCGCCTCCTCGGGCTTTCCCGCCTTGGGCAGAGCCCGCGGGGCCCCGGACTCTGTGCCGGGTTGTCTCTACTCCAGTGCCTGCCAGTCTGCCTATCGGGGCTCTTCGTTGACACTTCCGTTTTATCCTCGGGCTACTCTTCCCGCGGACAAACCCCCTCCCGCCCAGGCCGCTTCCCCTCGGAGCGACTGCCCCAAGGGGGTTGCTGCCGGGCGTGAGACCCGCGGAGTGGGGTATTCCTGCCCCCACGCGCGGAAGCGAGCGCAGCGGCCGGGAACCGCGCGCTGTGGGCTGGGGTCTCGGAGGTGACGGCTGTGCGGGGGCGGGGATCCTGTGTCCGGCCCTCAGACGCCGCCCACGACTAGCCTGGCGCTGCGCTAGGCGCTGGAGCATCAAAAGACCTAGCTGACACTGACCCACGGTGCCAGGCTCTTTAGCATACATTATCTCATTGAAATTCCCAAACCACCCATTTGGCAGGAAACTCAGAGACGTCGGGTAACTGGCCCAGGCCACACGTCCTAGATCTTGGAGTCCCGTTTTCTTCCCCCACTACTTCGTTTATATTCGAAACTTACTGAGTAGGCATTGACCGAAGCACCCGGGGCAGGTCTGTCGCGGGTAAAAGGACAGGGAGATGCGAGTGGGACAGGATTATGTAAATCAAACCTCAAAGGGTGCAGGGGAAGGGAGAGCAGGCAACTGGGTTATTCCCCTTCACTAACATGTAAACCTTTGGCGGTCCGGGACTGTATGCCCACAGCCAGCCTCCTAGAAGGGTCCCTAGAAATATTAGTAAAACAAAATTTTTTCAGTGTTTTAAATTATAAAATGTTTAAATATGTAAAAAAAATTAAAGAGTAAAATGAACACCCACTTACCCTCCGTCTAGATTTAACAATGAGAATAAATAATGTGTATAGCACTTTAGAGCTCATAAAGCTTCTTGCTTGGCGTTACCATATTGCAAATGAAACTCTCACTGGTGGACCAATCCGGGAACTATTCCGACCCTACTACTGCACAACCTCCACAAGTCAAGTCCACCTAGGAAGCTGCCTTTCTCTCCCTGTTTCCATCCTGCTCAGGAGGTTGGAGGTTGCACCAGAACTTGGTGTGCTCTCAGAAAGCCCAGTTACAAGTATGTTTCCCAGTGGGAGGTTCACTGCCTGGAAATTCACTTTGAAATTGAGATGTTAGCCTCTCAAAGTCTCAGATTTCTCCCTTAAAATTCAATATACTGGAGGGTGAGGAAGAATTTGGGTCACAATGGGATCCATTACTTCCAACTCTGGATTAACACAGGAACTCTTCCATGATCTTGCCTATGGCTCTCTCAATAACCAGTATGTACTATATTTAACTACCATAAACCTCAACATGATGGTTGTGGGGACAGAACTGATATCCCCTTGGAGGCTGAGCTAATTATAAAATACTTTTTTAAAACTATCCTTTTCTTTTATAAAAGTAATACATATTGATTTAAAAAATCTCAAAGTGATGCAAAAATGAATGTGTTAGAAAGTGAAACCCTGATGGAGTAAGTTAGAAAGATGAAACCCAGGCATGGATTTAAGGTTGGGATGTCTGGGCTGTGCATTACTTAGGATAAGAGCAGAGGCTGAAGTAGCTCTGCTTGCAGCAGCTGCGATAGATTTAGATTGGTCATGTTGTTCCCAAATAAGGGCACACATACAGTCACAGAGGCACAAGAAAGATTTCATCGACACTCCACTACCGCTGTTCAATCAAACATTCAAAAGTCACCGAGAGCTATAATCGTCTTTTCACATCTCTTCATTTTATTTATTTATTTTTAAAAGATTTTATTTATTTAGTTGAGAGAATGAGAGAGAGAGAGAGAGCATGACAGGGGGGAGGATCAGAGGGAGAAGCAGACTCCCTGCTGAGCAGTGAGCCTGAAGTGGGACTTGATCCTGGGACTCGATCGCAGGACTCGATCCCAGGACTCCAGGATCATGACCTGAGCTGAATGCAGTCGCTTAACCAACTGAGCCACCCAGGTGCCCCCACATTTCTTCATTTAAAAAAAATTACTGGAACCTCAAAAAATGGAACCTCTTTCAGCTTCTCTTGACCTAGAAATAAATGCCACTACCTCACAAGTAAGTCCATGCCTTGGAGCAACTAGGTGGCTCAGTTGGTTGAGTGACTGACTCTTGGTTTCACCTCAGGTCATGCCTCAGGGTCATGATCTCAGGGCTGCAAGATTAAGCCCAGTGTAGGGCTCCAAGCTCAGTGGGGAGTCTGCTTGAGATTCTCTCTCCTCTTCCGCTGCCCCTCCTTCCCCCCCACCCCTGCTTGCTTACTCTCTCTTCAAAAAAAAAAAAAAAAAAAAAAAAGGCAAGTCCATGCTTCAGAATTGCTCCCTGTTGCAAAAGGTATCACTGCAATTGCAAAATATCCTGCTATAGACTGGAAAGCCCCAGTTCCTGCCCAATCCTGCTGTGGGTGTGTTAGTTTGAGCTTAAAGGAGTTTCCTGGCCAGTCAAGACAGGGTTAGGGACCCCAGGAACAAGAAGGACCGTGTGTTATTGCACAATTTCAGTTGTCTCAGGAGTGGGAGGCTCCCTGTGAGGTGGCTGTGTTACTGCCTTCTGAAATCTTGCACAGGCCATGATCCCAGAGACGCTCAGTCAACACCCTTCCGGCCCAACCTGAGAATATCACACATCCAACATTTGCACCACAAATATGCATGCATTTGAGTCCATCCATTTTTTAGTGAGTATGTTGGGGTTGGGGTTATTTTCTCAGCAGGATCCAGAAAACTGGATGCTGTCAGCTATTAAACCAAAAGCACTGAGTAATCTGTAAAATATGAAGTATGTGGACCAAGTGGATAGTAAGATAACATTCAACCAAGCAGAACTCATCAAAGCCTTGGTCCCAGCTGGTCACACACAGGCTGGTCACACAGTGTTGTTTGTTCTGCCAGGCATCAGAATGTTGCAAATGACCTGTGGGGAGTGGTCAGAATAGCCCATTTTGAGTCTCGTTAGACAGCTGAAAAAAGTGACAGCTGGCCTTAGTGAGGAACAGTAAAATAATAAATTATTATCGTGCACGGAGACGATATTGCAAAGTGGTTAAAAGAGGGAGTTTGAATCCTGGCTCAGTCACTGAGCAAGTCACTGAACCACTAATCCTGGCAGTGAGGATGATAAATCCTTCCCTGAAGGCATGCTGCAGAGATTTTAGGAGATAATGGATACAAAGCAAGCTGTGCCTGGCACACAGTAACCACAATTGTGTTAAAAACAAAACATCTGGGGGCACCTGGGTGGCTCAGTTGTTGAGCATCTGCCTTCAGCTCAGGTCATGATCCCAGCGTCCTGGGATCAAGCCCCACATTGGGCTCCCTGCTCAGCGGGGGGCCTGCTTCTCCCTCTCCCACTCCCCCTGCTTGTGTTCCTGCTCTCGCTATCTCTCTCTGTGAAATAAATAAATAAAATCTTTAAAAAAAAAATCTGTAAGCCAAAAACTTCATAAGAAATGCAGAAAGCTTAAACCAGGACATGCAAATGATGCCAGCTAAGTGATAGAAATATAACCATTTTGCAAGTACCATTGTAGCAACTGATTTAGGAAAGGATCGTTAATGAATGCTAAAATCATGGGGTGAAAGATTGTAGGAGAACAAGACGTTTCCACATTCTCAGGTTACTTACTAATTACAACAAAAAACATCCTTTTACAATGGAGACATCTTGAGCACCTGAATATACCTTCAGTCTAATAATGAGGAAATGATGCACAGACCTAAATTAAGGGACATTCTGCTTGGAACGGACTTTTCAAAAACATTGACAGAATTTAAAAAGGCGGGGAAGTGTGAAAGTGTTCTAGTAGAAGCAGAGTATAGAGATGTGACAACTAAATGCAGTGCAGGATCTCTGATCGGACCGTGGGCTGGAAAAAATAAAGCTGTCAAGGACATTATCAGTCCTTTGGAGAAATTTGATTATGGACTCATTATAGTATTATAATGATGTTAATTTTCCTGAGTATGATAATTGTATTCTGATTATTTAAAATAATATCCTTATATCCTTGTTCATTGTACTTAGGGTATTTAGGATATTTGGAGTGACATCTGATAATGTTTTCAATTCATTACCAAATGGTTCAGAGGGAAAAAAAGGAAAAATGAAGTGCATGCATGTGTGTATGTAAGAGAGAGAATCACTAAATACTGTAAAATGTAAACAGTTGGTGAATCTCGGTAACTTTTCTGTAGGTCTGAAATTTTTCAAAACACAAAGTTCGGGATAAAAATCAGCGTATGCAGAAAGACAGAAGCAGTTAACTGGAAGAAGTCCGCTCACCCACATACAACTTCCATTAGCTCTGGAGTGACTTCTGGAGCCCCACACTGGGACATGAGCTCCAAAGGACAACTATGTCTTTTTTCACCCTTGTTTCTCCACATCCTGGCAGGGTGTCCAAAATATGTGTTCAGGGGCACCTGACTGGCTCAGTCAGTAGAGCATGTGACCTTTGTTCTCGGGGTTCTGAGTTCAAGCCTCACATTGGATGTAGAGCTTACTTAAAAAAACAAAAACACAAACACAAACAAACAAAAAAAAACTTGTTCAGTAAAAGTGCATGGACAAGCATCCTCCCTCATGGGTATGCTGTCGGGAAGCCAGGCAGAGTAGAGAACACACAAATCAGGATGACAGTTCCAGGCATGGCATTTTGAGCCTTCATGATGCTGAAAGTACCAGACAACTGGAACTACATCAACAGGGGTGACACCAGGGCTGGTGTCCTGGCAGTGTCCTTCTGGCTTCACCTCCTTCTTGGGCAGGGAAGGGCAAAACTTGCAGGGCTACATTTTTGCCCCCAGTCCGACCCTCCCCACCATTTGCTTTGGAGGGCCAATAAAATCCCAAGAGTCTGGAGGAGAACAACTGGCCAAAGAGACTGACCCTCATCATGGTCCTCTGCTGCGTGGGACCAGGGAGAAGAAGCATCTGAGTGCCTGCCCAGGATCAATACTCTGGAATCCAGCCCCAGCCCCTCCTTCACATATTTACCACTGCTCTGCTGGGCAGTATTCGAAGGTGAGGGCTGGGGCGCTAGAGGACCACGTGGCTGACCTTGAGCCCTCCCAGCTGTAAAAGCCTCCAAATCTGTGAGAAAGAGAACACAAGTGTCATCACTGGGAACAAACAAATGATGACACTCATAGCTCAGTTCCCGCCAGAGCGCAGAGCATTTCCTGTGCCTCTTCCGTTATTTCACAAACAGCTTCTTTTTGCCCAGCCTCTGGGTTTCCAGGGCAGAGGCTGTTTCAGACAGCTGGCTCTGGCCTCTCCTGGTCAACACCATGATCAAGACCCCCAGTGACCATGTGCTGGACTCCCTGGAGTCACTGGTGCCCAGTGACTTTGAGAAGTTCAAGTTTAAGCTGCAGAACACCAGCCTGGAGAAGGATCACTCCCGGATCCCCCGGGGCCAGCTCCTGAATGCCAAGCCAGTGAAGCTGGCCACTCTGATGATCACCCACTATGGGGAAGAGTATGCTGTGAGGCTGACCCTGCAAGTCCTGAGGGCCATCAACCAGAACTTTCTGGCAGAGGAGCTTGACAGGGCCATCAGCCCAGGTAAGCAGGCCCCATGCCCCATTCCTCTCCCAGTGTGACTGCTGGCTATTCATGGAGTGGGGTAGAAGGTGCAAGAGGGAACTTGTGTTTAGACCACTGTGTTGTGACTTGGGGGGTTAGGAGTCCCAGGTCTACCATGACCCCAGTGACTCTGGCCGAGCAAGTCCTTTCTGCTGCTTAGGTCTCTGGAGCTGGGTTAGTACAGCTAAGGCTCCCAATGGCTTTAAAAAAGGGCGAGGGAGGCTGAGATTCTCACTGTGGGGCAGAATCAGGAGAGCAAGAGCTAAGATGCCTGATCTTAGAGGGGCCCTAACTTCATTGTGATTAACCCCTATGTACAGACCAGTATCTTCAGGAGAGAAAAAAAGGGCTTGCTAACTGACCACATCAGCTGGGTGGACTGGTAATCTTCACGTTGAAATCCACCTGTTTTCAGTTTTGAGTTCTTCTTTGACATATTTCACAAAGGTATTCTAAAATTCTCAATTCTTTTCCTTCCTTTCTTTCATCTTTTCTCTTTCCTTGTTTTTCTTCCTTCTTCTCCTCCTTCTTCTATTCCTGTTTTGCTGTAACTTCCTGATTTTATCCCACTGTGATCAATGAATGTGGCCTCTATGTATTTTTCTGAAGTAAATGTTTAAATAACATAAAATTTCTCCACTCTTTGAAAGACTGATAAGACTAAACCATAATCTGAGTCCAGTGTAATTTGATGAGTAGAATTTTTAAGTTACCTTTTCATGTTTTAAAACCTGGTTATTTGGACACCTGGGTGGCTCAGTTGGTTAAGCGTCTGCCTTCGGCTCAGGTCATGATCCCGGAGTCCTGGGATCGAGTCTCACATCGGGCTCCTTGCTCAGCAGGGAGCCTGCTCTCCCTCTGCCTGCTGCTTCCCCTGCTATGCTTTCTCTCTCTCACTCTCTGACAAATAAATGAATTTTTTTAAAAACCAGAAACAATAAAACCTGGTTATTAGCATCTTTAGGGCTTTCCCATTAGTTCTTGAGCCAGTTCAGGGAACTTAACATTTTCCTAGGAAGCAAAGTGTTTGCAACAGCAAAGTGTTTTAACAACTCTGAAGCAATTTTAATGAGAGCCTCTTCTACCACAAATTAAACTGCTGATTACAGGATATCTTCATTTCTTTATTAGACTAGTGGTTTTCAAGTTACATCCAAGGAAGATATTTCAGGGATTCTTTAGAATGTTAACAAACACTTAATCCAAATTTTATTAATTTTTCTGATTTACAAAACCAACAAATTCATATTAAAATGTGTCATTAGGGGCGCCTGGGTGGCTCAGTCGTTGGGCATCTGCCTTTGGCTCAGGTCATGATCCCAGTGTCCTGGGATCGAGCCCCACATCAGGCTCCTTGCTCAGCAGGGAGCCTGCTTCTCTCTCTTCCACTCCCCCTGCTTGTGTTCCCTCTCTAGCTGTCTCTCTCTCTCTGTCAAATAAACAAATAAAATCTTTTAACAAAAAAATAAAATGTGTCATTAACCAAATTTTGAAATGCTAGAGGCCACCAGGTGATAGTTTGTGCTGTACTTGAATTCCTTTTTATGTAGACCTTGGAATTAAGCATTTCCTGTCATTTCTGTTTAATGAAACTGTATCCTGAAACTTCCAACCAAGCAAGCTGTTTAAAAAAAAAAATCTCCATTTACACTTACTTACCTGTGTGTTAGGATTTTCTTCACATCGTGAAACCAAAGAATAAAACAGAAGTAAATTAGTTTCTGAAGTTTTAATTGTCCTTCAAAATCTGTTTTCAAATTTTTGTGCCAAATACCTTAATTCTTCTTTATTGATGGATTTTATGAGTTTTATACACCTATAATCACACACACATTTATACCAGTAAACTAGGGGTTTATTTATTTTATGAATTAACAATTTTGTGTAAGACTTTATATTGGAAACTTCTCCTGCCAAAGAAGTTTGAAAAGCACTATTTGAGAAATATATAACAAATAATTAGCATTTTCTTATTTAAGGGTAATTGACTGTTGTTGCCTAGAACATTCTGAACTTCTGTAATTTCTGAGGGGATTTTTCCTTCTCTCCCTTCTCTCCCAACCCCTGGCCCTGAACACTGCACAATTTCATGCCTTTGCATCCTGTTGTCTTCGCAGAGTATCTGATACAAGAAAGTGGCCCAAACAGTTCAACAATGTCTTGTTCTTCTGGGGAGAATAAGCCCAAGGGCCTGAAGATACCAGATGGCCTGGAAGGTGATAGGCAGCGGCAAAGTGGTGATGGGGCCCTCAGCCTGCCATCCAGCCAGCATGAGGCTGGAAGGGGGCCCCAGAAGAAGCCTCAGGGCAAATGGAGAGGTCAGAAGAGCTCTGAGGGCCTGGATGTGCTGGGCAAGCCAGGGGCCAGGAGCGTGACTCTGTCCTCCAGGAGAAGCCCACTCTCTGGCAAGCCACAGGTGGAGAAGTGGAGTCCTAGTGTCAGGCTACGCAGGAATGTCAGCTCTTTAGGAAGGCTCCAAGGAGTTGCCTGTGAGTCGCTTACTGGGTCCCTAGGAAGAGTAAAATCCAGGATCTCTGAAGAACATTTACCTTCAGAGCAGAAGAGACCCAGAAGTCTTGAATTTACCATTTTTTTGGGAGAGAGAGAACCCCCCAATCCAGAAACTCTTCTGCCTCAAGAGAAAATGAGAAGTGATCATCCAGACTCAGCAGCCACCCCCAGTGAAGTGGCCACTCTGGATGTAGGTACTACTGTGGCTCCAGAGAAAGGCTCCAAGAATCCAGAACAGTCCATGATCCTGAAGGGGGGAGTATTCAGGAATACACTTTCCAATGTATCACTGTCTGGAGACCAGACGACCTGGGAGAATCCAGAATCTACAGGACCTTCAAAGAAAAATGGAATCGAGGGGCAAGAACCTTCTGAGACCTTGAGGGAGGTGGTAGGCAGTGAGCTCCACCAGCCTTCAGGTCCAGAAGTCCCTCCTTCTTCAGGTAAGAAAGGACCCCAAAACTCAGAAAACCTGGTATCCTTAGGAATGGTGACCTGTGCAGGTGTTTCCTCACAACACCAGATCCCTGGGTGCCCCTGGGATCTGAGGTAGGCTGTGAATCCTGAAAAAAATGCACATACACACATCTTCATAAAATGTTGCATCAAAGTTCAAGTTCTTAGATACTCTGAAATCCGTTAGAATTCCAAGGAATTCATGGACCCCAGCTTGAGCATCTGGGAAAGACTGGGTAAAAATACCTGCTTCTCACAATGACCCCATGGCAGTATGTCATGGGACTGAGATTCTGCCATTCACCTCTCTGGGCAGGGAGGAGAGCTGTTGGCTAAAATCCTAAATTTCTTTTACTAAGGAGGCAGAAATTGGGATTATGTTGGGTTGTGGATGACAGAAATGCCAAAATAATGCTAACTGAAACAAGATAGAAGTTTGTTTCTCCTTCACATAAATAACACAGATGGTCCAGAACAGATGTGGTACATTATGGGCCAGGAACCCAGGCTCCTGCTGTTTTTCTGCTCCACAAAATTTGCTCTCAAGCTCATGGTCTCAGACGGTGGCATCCTCATTCCAAGCAGCAGGATAGAAGGACAAAGGAGAAGAGTATCACTTAGGGAAAGTTTCCAGAAGTTTCTAGAAGCTGTTCATGATGCTTTCATTTATATCCCTTTGGCCAGAATGTAGTCAAACAGCCACACCTAACTGCAAGAAATGGGTTTTTTTGGGGGGCGGGGAGGGAAGCAGCCATCAATTGATGGGCAGCAATCAATTCTATCATAAGGGAAGGAGAGGAGAATGGTTACTGGGGGGGCCTCCCACAGTCTCACTTACAGATGTGATATGAATTCCTGGGACCTTGTGAGAGGTGGTGGGAGGGGACTAATGAATTGACTGGGGCTCTGTTTCTTCTTGTACCTCCTGTCATTTCTGCTTTATGAAGTTGTGCTATGGTCTTGGGGCACAGCTAGTCATGGCTGTTTGTCATCATGGTGGATTATACCCTTCATCCTTATAAAGTCAAGACCCTTTCCTTACTTCCATTTAATTCTTCATGAACCTGGATGTGAGGAGAGGTCCCTTTAGTTCTTTCATTCAACACACACTTCTCAAATCCTTACCATGTGCCAGGGACTCTGCTAGGGGTCAGGCTATGAGTGAATCACTGTCCCCAGGGAGCTCCCACTCGAGTCATGAGCAGCCTGGTTGGTTTTAAGTGGCAAAGCAAACACTGGTTAGAACGTCTCACTGCCTTTATATCACCTGCTAGATCTGTATATGTGTGGGAGGAAGGCATAGAATTTATAACAAAAGGCTTTTCATTAGGATAAATATCCAGGAATTCCAAGTCTCAGGGCTGTCATGAGATCTAGCCCTTTGCCCTCACTTTTGCTGGGTGGTTTGCTACCTTGCAGGAGCGAAGTCAGGGGAGGACAAGTTAGAAGTTGCCACAGTCTAACCAGGAACTTGTGTGTCCCAGGCATGGGCTCTCTATCTCTCTCTTCTGTGTTTTGTAGCACCCCTTCATAACATT